TGGGTGACTTTGGGCCACTCACCAGGAGACTGGGAATTCTAGTCCAGTCTTAGGCATGAAAGACGAGTGGGTGACTTTGGGCCACTCACCAGGAGACTGGGAATTCTAGTCCAGTCTTAGGCATGAAAGACGAGTGGGTGACTTTGGGCCACTCACCAGGAGACTGGGAGTTCTAGTCCAGTCTTAGGCATGAAAGACGACTAGGAGACTTTGGGCCACTCAACAGGAGACTGGGAGTTCTAGTCCGGTCTTAGGCGTGAAAGCCAACTAGGAGACTTTGGGCCACTCAACAGGAGACTGGGAGTTCTAGTCCAGTCTTAGGCATGAAAGCCAACTAGGTGACTTTGGGGGACTCCGTCTCTCTCTCTCATCTCAGTCCAGCTCGCAGGGTTGTTGTGGGGTAAATAGGAGGCAGAGGAAGCATTTGCTATATTCCTCCCCTTATTTATAAAAATTAATTAAAAGACCAGATGCAAATTAATAAATAGTTCGCTGCGCTCGTCCTAAATGCGAGTCAAGTTGCCCGAGCGTCTGAATGCGAATCCCGGGGGCCATGCGGCGGTCATCAGCGTGGAAAAATGGCCGTGGCTCACGCTTTTCAGTGCCCCGGTCGCTAAGCAAAATCGTTGCAGATCGAGGACTACCCGTAAAACTCTGCAATATGCTTGGGGGGGGAGAAGGGGTGTGGTTGTCGCTTGCTGAAATGCACAACTCGACAACGACGGTGTCGGGAGGCAGCTGCCCTTAATTGCACCAACCGAGTGTAAAAAAACAAACCAACAGCCAATGTGGTGGAAACACTATAATGAGTGCTAATATATTTGCATACTCATTATGCCTTTGCATGGTGGTGTGCCTTGATCTGCTTAAACTAATAACCCGTTTTGGCAGGGCGAGGGTTTCGCGAAGCGGACGGGGAGCAGGCGGCCAGTTGTGCCAGGCGCTGCGGGCTGGAGTAAAGCCTCCCCCCCCCCCACTCCCCGAATTGGAAGCCAGTACCTTAGCATCCTGGCACCTAATAAGATGAATCTCGTGGTCAAATCCAATCATCTCTCCCCCCCCCCCGCCCTTCGTTTTGGCAGAGAGGAAGGGAACTGAAGCAAGGAGTGGAGATAATGAAGTGGAGGAGGGCTGTTAGAGTGGGAGGGAGAAGGGGAGGGAGGGAGGGAAGGAGATAGGAATGGGGAGGGAGGAAAGAAAAGAAAAAGACGATAGGAAGGAGGGAGAGGAGGAGGGGAAAAGGAAGGAAGAAGGAAGGGGAGGGAGGGAGAAGAGGGAGAGAAAGAGGGAAAGGAAGGAAGGAGGAAAGGAAGGGAGGGAGGGACGGAGAGGAGGAGGGGAAAGGAAGGAAGGGAGGAAAGGGGAGGGAGAAGAGAGGAGGGAAAAAGGAAGGGGAAGGAGGGAGGAAAGGGGAGGGAGGGAGAAGAGAGAAGGAGGGGAAAAGGAAGGAGAAGGAGGGAGGAAATGAAGGAAGGAGATAGGAATGCGGAGGGAGGGAGGAAAGAAAAGGGGGAGAGAGGAGGAGGGAAAAGAAAAGGAAGGAAGTTAAAGGGAGGGAGGGAAAGAAGGAGGGAGAAAGGAAGGAAGGAGATAAGAATGGGAAGGAAAGAAAGGAAAGAAGAAAAGGAAGGGAGAAGAAGGCGAGAATGAGGGGAAAAAGGAAGGAGAAGGAAAGGAAAGAAGGGAGGGAGGAAGGAAGGGGAAAGGGGGAAGAAGAAGAAAAAGGAAGGGAATTAGGAAGGAAAGTAAGGAAGGCAAAAGAAGAAGAGAAAAGAAGTGGAAGGGAGGAAAGAAAGCAAGAGAGAAAAGGGAAGAAAGAAAAAGCAGGAGAAGAAAGGCAAAATACATTATTTTCTTTTGGTTTATTTGGTTTATTATTTAGTACAGGAATTTGTACAAGTCCCATTGAAAAGAGGGATCCCCCCCAACCCCCGTGGGCTCTCTCCCAAAGTAAGGGGTCCCACCCAGCGTCCCTCTTAAAGGGGGTGTATGGAACCAACAACGTGAGCCTTTTTCTACACTTGGTTGCAACTAATTCCCAAAAATAAAATGTATGTAAGCCTTTTTGCTCCTTAAAATGCCTGAATTTCTATATATTCCCAGATTAGCCTCCCCTCCCTCTTTCTCTCTCCTCCTCCTCTCTCCTTCTCACTCTCTCTTCCCCTTTCTCTTTCCCTCTCTTTCTCTCTTCCCTTTTCTCTCTTTTTCTCTCTCCCCCTCTTTCCTTCTCACTCTCTTTCTCTTTCTCTCTCTTTCTCTTTTCCCTTCTCTCTTTCTCCCTCCCCCTCCTCACTCTCTTCCCCTTTCTCTTTCCCTTTCTTTCTCTCTCTCTTTCGCTCTCTTTTCCTTTCTCTCTCTCTCTCTTTCTCTCTCCCCGCCTTCTCACTCTCTCTTCCCCTTTCCTTTTCCTCTCTCTTTCCCCCTCTCTCTCTCTCTTCCCCTTTCTCTCTCCCTCTCTCATTCTCTCTTCCCCTTTCTCTTTCTTCCCCTTTCTCTCTTTTTTCTCTCTCCCTCTCTTTCCTTCTCATTCTCTTTCTCTTTTCCTTTCTCTCTCTCTTTCTCTCTCCCCCTCCTTCTCACTCTCTTCCCCTCTCTCTTTCCCTCTCTCTCTCTTTTCCTTTCTCTCTCTCTTTCTCCCCCTCCTTCTCACTCCCTCTTCCTCTTTCTTTTTCCTCTTTCTCTCACTTCCCCTTTCTCTCTCCCCCCCTCTCCTCACTCTCTCTTCGCCTTTCTCTTTCTCTTCCCCTTTCTCTCTCTCTCTCTCTCTCTCTCCCTCTCTCCTTCTCACTCTCTTCTCCTTTCTCTTTCCCTCTCTCTTTCTCTCTCTTCCCCCCCTCTCTCTGTTTAAAACCAATGTCTTTGAGAATCATACAAATGAAAAATCCTGACTTTATTAAGCCAACAACCGAGAACTTTCTGATATTTTTTTAAAATAGGATGTGGCTGCTCGTGGGTTAGATCTGCCCCAAGTCACCTGGATTGTGCAGGTAAGCGATCTTCTTTTGTCGCCATGTGGATTCTTCCATTTTTTAAAACAATTTTATTTCACACATTTATTTTTTCTTACGGGTTTTAATTGCAATAGCAAAATTGAACAGAAACCAGAAGAAAAATGAAGGTTAAATATCTACCATGTTTTCCCAAGAATAAGACAGGGTCTTATTTTCTTTTGATCCCCAAAATAATTGGCCTTATTTTCGGGGTGGTCTTATTATTTTGGAGGTGCGGAAGGCGGCGAGTGTGGTCACCTTGTGGCTGCTGCTGTGTTGCAATATTTTCGGGGAGGGCTTATTTTAGCGCATGCGCTCTGAAGCCCAATTGGGCTTATTACCCAGGGAGTTCTTATTTTCAGGGTAACAGGATATCTATCCATCCATCCATCCATCCATCCATCTATCATCTTTATCACATCTCTGTCTGTCTATCCATCATCTTTATCATATCTGTCTGTCTCTCTCCCTCTATCTATATCATCTTTATCATCTATCAATATATCTAATCATGTATCATTATCTATCTATCTCATCTTTATCATCTCTCTCTCTGTCTATCAATATATATCTAAATATCTTTATCATTATCTATCTCTATCTATCTATCTATCTATCTATCTATCTATCTATCTATCTATCTCATCTTATATCTCTCTGTCTATCAATATATCTAATCATCTTTATCATTATCATTATCATTAATAAGTAACTTAATGGCACTCTATCTATCTATCTATCTCATCTTATATCTCTCTGTCTATCAATATATCTAATCATCTTTATCATTATCATTAATAAGTAACTTAACGGCACTCCTTGTTCCGTTTGAAACCTACAATAAACCGAACTGAACTGAATGAAACAGGTAGAAACGAGGTTATATAAAAGAAAACTGCAGGTATTTTTTGACTTTAACAAACCGCCACTGAGCCCAAAACTTCCATTTCTAAGTGAGATGGTGGCTAAGTGTCCTGTGTTGCGACTTTCTTGCCGCGGTTGTTAAGTGAATCACTGCGGTCGTTAAGTTAGGAACACGAACCCGACTTCCCCAATGGCTTTGCCTGTCAGAAGGTCGCAAAAGGGGGTTGCGCAAACACCTCCACCCCACCCCATGCCCTTTGGGGGACACAGGAACTCTCATAAGTACATGCCAGTTGCCGAGTGTTTGGATATTAATCATGTGACCCTGGGGAATGTTGCAACGGTTGCCAGTGTGAAAAAATAGTCCTAACGACGCCTTTTTCGGTGCCGTTGTAACTCAGAACCATCACTAAACGAATGGTTTGCAGTGGGATGCAAAGTGTGTTTTCACATATCCGGACAATTTTTACAATAGCCCTTGGCTGTGGCGGTAAGCTTGCAGTCCCCAATTTCTTTCCATCTACTTTATTTTAAAGTTTAAAGGTTCCCCTCGCACATCTGTGCTAGTCGTCCCCGACTCCAGGGGGCAGTGCTCATCTCCGTTTCAAAGCCAAAGAGCCAGAACTGTCCGAAGACGTCTCCGTGGTCATGTGGCCAGCATGACTCAACGCCAAAGGCGCATGGAACGCTGTTTCCTTCCCACCAAAGGTGGTTCCTATTTTTCTCCTTGCGTTTTTTAACTTGCTTTCGAACTGCTAGGTTGGCAGAAACTGGGACGAGTCACAGGAGCTCTCTCCGTTACACGGCGCTAGGGGTTCGAACTGCCAAACTGCCGGCCTTTCTGATCGACAAGCTCGGTGTCTTAGACCCTGAGCCATCATGTGGCTTTATTTTACTCCCTCCCCCCCCCAAAAAAAAGGGCTGTTTAAAGAGTTTATTTTTGAAAACGATCTCCGATGCTCTAATTAATCGCTCCCACGGTCCCTCTAATTCATTCCCCTGCTTAGCTCACATGTCATCTTTTCTTTCTTTCTTTTTCTTTCTTTCCCTTTTTCCTGGGAAGTATAATCCCGCCGCTTCGCTCGCTGAATACGTCCACCGAATTGGGAGAACAGCTCGGATTGGCAGCCCTGGAAACAGCCTGCTCATCCTTTTACCTTCGGAGGCCGAATATGTCAGCTTCCTGGCTTCCTACAAGATTAAGTGAGTCACACAAATACCGTCTCTTCCTCCCCCCTCCTCTCTTCCTGCCCCCCCTCCCTTCTCCCCACCTAGCGTCAAAATCCGTGGCCAACTTTAGCTAATATAACACCTGCAGCCCCACGCATCTCGTTTGGTCGGGGGGGGGGCCCTTTGGGGGGAGGAGCGGTTATCATTTTCCAGGATAAATCTAATTTCAGCGTGATTTTTTCTTTTAAAAAATTGCTCTTAAGTTTTGTTCCGTGCAAATTGCAGATGTACAAGTAAAAATAACCTGGAATATTAAGAGGTTTTTTTTAAAAAACGACAACCTTAAAGCAGAACAATGATGTTATTTGATTGTAGAAGAAATTTGTTTAATATTTTGGGGAGTGGGGACTTGATTTGATTTAAAAAAAAAAAATAATCACACTTTTATTATTGTTTATAAATAACTCAAGGGGGCTGACATACTTAATGTTCCTGCTTCCTTCTGTTTTCTCCACAACAACGAAGCTGTGAGGTGGGATGGGGTGAGAGAGGGGGACTGACCCAAAGTTGCTCAGCCGGCTTTCATGACTAGAACTTACCATCACCTGGTGATTGACTAGAACTCACCGTCTCCTAGTGATTGGCCCAAAGTTACTGAGCCGGATTTCATGCCATCTATCTATCTATCTATCTATCTATCTATCTATCTATCTATCTATCTATCTATCTATCTATCTATCTATCTATCTATCTATCTATCTAT